ATTTTGCGAGCCATAATAAAGTTTTTTTTGCTTGACATAATAAATAAAATTTAAATTGAATATAGTTTGTATATATATTAACTGAAGGTTAAATATATTAAAGAAAGTTATTTTTCTATACACCTTTTCCACGACTTTTTTATTGCGTATAAATTGTAAATACCCCCGAGGTTCAGTCGTACAATTTACGTTTGTTTTAAATTTCTCGCTTTAATTAAATTAATTGATAGTACGTTGTTTTATCAATTTTTTTTGACGTCGTTGTCGATAATTCGCGAAAATAGTAATTTACCTCGAGGTTCAGTAGTACAATTGACGTTTGTTTTTAAATTTTTCGTGTTAATTAAATTAATATTCGAAAGATGGCCAATGTTAATGATTTTTCGCGGGCGTGTGATGCATTGTTGGAATTCGAAGCGGGCTTCAACAACATGCCGTGTAGCAGCCATTCCATTTTTTCACTGGAGATCCAAAAGGAGGAACTGACGGCGCTCTGGGTCAAGGTGAAGGATGCGTTCGATGACTACTCGAAAAAGGTGTCGGACGACGAAACCGGGCAGGCAGATATCAGGATTGCTACTCAGCATACTTGACGTGCGGCGCATTGATGGGAGAGACGGCTCATAACCTGACGTTCACGCAGCAAAGTAGTTCGACAGTTAATCCGGTAAATCGCGAGATTGAACCCCCAGCCCGCTCGAGTATCCATTTACCTCCATGTGACACAGAAATTTTTTACGGTGATTACATGTCGTGGCCATCTTTCCGCGATTTGTTTACGGCAATTTATATTAACAATTCGCGTTTGACCCCGGTAGAGAAATTGTACCACTTGAATCAAAAGACCCGTGGTGAAGCGAAAGATATCGTAAAAAAATCGCCTTTGACTAACGACGGTTTCGCGACTGCTTGGCAAAATTTATCCGACCGCTATGAAAATAAGAGGATAATGGTTAATAGCCAATTAAAAACGCTCTTTAACCTACCATCGGTAACGAGTGAACGCGGGACGGAAATTAAAAATTTACAGCGGGCAGTTAATAATTGTATATCCGTTTTAGAAATGTACGGGATTGATATTGAGAACTGGGATGCGATCTTTGTGTTCTTAGTATCGAGTCGGTTACCGGATACCACGCTGGCGTTGTGGGAACAAGGCATTGTGAGAAAGGCGGAAATTCCAAAGTGGGAGGAATTAGACAGCTTTCTCACAAGTCGGTTCCAGACGTTAGAAACGGTGTCCGATATCCGAAGTGCACGCGCAGTAAAGCCTGTACCTAATCGCCAACCCGCAGCGACGTACGAAAGGAAGGTATCGGCACACCACGGTCAGTTTTCGCAGCCCGCATGCAGATTATGCCCCGAACAATCTCATGCTCTAAAGGGCTGCCCCAAATTTCTGGCAATGAAAGTTGAGGATCGCCTCAACTTAGTCAGAAAACACAATTTGTGTATGAACTGCCTAGCGCATTCACACATCGCGAAGGATTGCAAGAGTCCGTTTAATTGTTGGAGCTGTCACCAGAGGCATCATTCACTATTACATCGAACTTTAGCTCCACAGAAGGCCAACTCTTCGCAACAGCGACCCCCCCCGAGGAACAAGGACTCACGATCTGAGCAACCCCCCGCAGGCACCAGCAATGTGCAGGCGCTTTTTGCGGCGAGCAACCGGAACATTCTTTTAGGTACTGCTATGGTGAACATCTGCCACTCAGGAGTTAACTATGAGGCCAGAGCCCTACTGGATTCTGGATCAGAGGGAACTTTCATCACGGAGCGACTACAGAGACTCATCAGGCTGCCAACGCGTGCGGTTGATACGCAGGTATCGGGCATAAATGCCAGGGTATCGGCAAATGTGCGAAAAGTCGCGCATCTGGCTATAGGTTCTCCTATAAACCCCCAGTTTAGAATCGAGGCAAGAGGTCTGGTTCTACCCCAATTAACAGGAAACCTCCCGAAGTTTACAGTGGATCAAGGGCATCTTGATTCACTGCCCCCCTTACGGCTAGCCGATGTCAATTTTTACAGGAGTCAGCAAGTGGACCTAATTCTTGGAGCGGATGTTTACCCAGCAGTCATAAGGGACAAGGTCCAAAGGAATGTTCTGGGGTCACTCGTAGCGCAGGAAACGGTGTTCGGCTGGATTTTGACGGGACCAATACCACCAACGACCACGAGGAGTTTCACTACTTCTGTGTCTCACGGCGCAGAAACTCCAACCCCCCAGCTAACTCGGTTTTGGGAGTTAGAAGAAGTTTCCACCAAAAGGAAAATTACCCCCGAAGATGCATTTTGTGAGGAGTTGTACGCTAAGACGACCACGAGGAATGAGCAAGGACGGTATGTGGTGGCTCTACCTTTTCGTCGGGAATTCCCAGACGAAATTAACCTCGGCCTTTCAAGGACTGGAGCAGCACGGCAATTCTTGCGCAGCGAGGCCGGTTATATCAGGAAACCGGAGTTGAAAACGGAATACGACCGGGTTCTGAAGGAGTACATCGAGCTCAACCATATGTGCCCCGTGAGGAAAACAGCGCAACAACCAGCACACAGGCCATACTACTTACCACATCACGCCGTCGTGAAACCGGACAGCATAACAACGAAGGTGCGAGTGGTGTTTAACGCGTCTTGTCCCACGTCAAATGGAGTCAGCTTAAATGACATATTATACCCCGGGCCAATTCTGCAAGCGGATTTGGTTTGCTTACTTTTAAAGTGGCGCTTATTCAAATACGTATTTAATGCAGACATCGAGAAGATGTATAGGCAAATTATGCTCCATCAGGAGCATACCCCATTTCAAAGAATTCTTTTCAGAGAATCCCCGGACGAAGAACTTAAGGATTACGAACTTAAGACCGTGACGTTTGGAGTAAACTGCGCTCCATATTTGGCAATAAGGACGCTACACCAGCTCGCAGATGATGTGAAAACGAGATTTCCACTGGCAGCAAAGATTTTGAAGCAGTATATGTATGTCGATGACGTCCTAGCTGGAGCCCACGATTGCACAACTGCAATACAAATGAGAGATGAGGTAATTGAAGCTCTTAACACCGCCAGCTTCCCACTAAGAAAGTGGACTTCGAATTGTAAGAAGATTTTGGCAGGACTACCCAAGGCGCACATATACAAGGAGAATTTCCTGGAGCTTGACGACATGAGTGAGACAAAAATGTTGGGAATCCGTTGGAACGCGGTACATGACATGTTTCACTTCACAGTACAGCCGATCCCCCGGAAGCAGGAGTATACCAAGCGAGAGGTTTTATCCTGCGTAGCAAAATTGTTCGATCCAGCTGGATGGCTCGGACCAATTGTAGTGGTGGCAAAGATCTTCATGCAGGAGATCTGGCTAACCAAAATAGACTGGGATGACAGTCTACCCCGAAATTTACTGCTACGTTGGGAGACCTTTCTGGATAACTATGAGCATATCCAGACGATAAAAATCCCCCGATGGACCCATTTTACGCCATGGGACGAAGTGGAGTTCCATGGTTTCTGCGATGCCTCTGAAAAGGCATATGCAGCCGCACTGTAATATACAAATGGACCGACTCCACGATCGTACTCTCGTGGCTTAGGAAACCGGCATGTACATGGACAACGTTTGTAGCTAACAGAGTCGCAAAAATTGATGAGCTGGTTGGAGTGTCAGGGTGGAACCATGTGGACTCTGCTGATAATCCAGCGGATCTTGGCAGCCGAGGCGTGTCCCCCCAGGATTTACTCGCAAGCACTCTGTGGTGGTATGGACCTAAGTGGCTGGAGCAAGATTCATCTACTTGGCCCCACCAAGCCAATAGAAATCCATTAGAAACCGACCTGGAGCAAAAAACGGTACGGGCTCATGCGGCAGGCATCTCCGAGGAAATGGACATTCTGGAGCGATTTTCAGACTTCTCGCGAGCCATGAGAGTAATTGCGCGAGTTTTCCGATTTTTTAGAAAAACTCATCCGGTGCATAAGTTGGCCGCTAGTGACGAGACAGACGAAATAACCTCCGATGAAGTAAAGCAGGTAAAATGTCGTCTCATCCTTATTGCACAGAGGCGTCACTACGCAGATGAATACAGGGCCATCATCGCTTCAACGCCAATCAACGCGAAAAGTTCACTTCGCGCTCTCAACCCCTTCCTCGACAGGAACGGAGTAATGAGGGTAGGAGGACGACTGGCGTTAACGAACATACCTTACAGTGAACGGTATCCAATAATTCTCCCGTACGACTGCCAGTATTCAAGATTGCTCGTAAAATTCACACATCTGATTTCCTTGCACGGAGGAAACCAGCTCATGTTGAGAATTTTGCGGTCCGAATACTGGATAGTGCGAATGAAAAACGTGATTAAAAATTCAGTTCATAACTGTAAGGTCTGTGTTATTTACAGAAAGAAGGCGCGGGAGCAGTTGATGGCAGCGTTACCACCGGAACGGACTGAGGTATCCAGACCCTTCACCAACACTGGAGTCGACTTCACCGGGCCCTTTGAGATAAGGAGTTTTACGGGTCGAGCTTGTCGTATTACCAAGGGCTATGTCTGCGTTTTCGTCTGTTTTGCGACAAAGGCAATACACTTGGAGGCCACCAGCGATTTGTCCACCGCCACATTTTTAGCAGCTTTTGCGCGTTTTGTGTCTAGACGCGGCTGCCCGCAAAATATGTATTCGGACAATGGAACCAATTTTGTAGGGGCGAATAAGGCATTGCAACAGGATCTTAAGCTCTTTGTCACTGCAGCGGCCAACAGCACAACTCAGACATACGCTCATCAGGGCATTACGTGGCATTTTATACCTCCAGGAGCACCTCACATGGGAGGGCTCTGGGAAGCGGGGGTAAAAAGCTTCAAGATGCATTTCAGGAAGGTAGCGAACAACATGCGTTTTACCATTGAGGAGCTCTCCACGCTTCTGGCAAGAATCGAATCTTGTCTTAATTCACGACCAATCAGCCCCATCTCTGAAGACGCGGAATCAACGGAACCTTTAACCCCAGGACATTTTTTGATTGGCACCCCGCTACTGGCACTCGCTGAACCCGAAATTAACGAGAACCCGATGTCTATTGTCAACCGGTGGCAAAAGATCAAGGCGATTCACCAGACATTCTGCAGAAGGTGGAAAGCAGAATACCTGAAGGAATTGCAGAAGAGAGTGAAATGGCACTCCCCCCCAACGAAACCTCGAAGTTGACGATCTAGTCGTCGTCAAAGAGGATAACCTTCCCCCAAATGAATGGCGACTTGGCAGAGTAATTAGGGTCTTTTCAGGTCAGGACAGCCGAGTACGAGTCGTAGAAATACGAACGGCACGCGGAATTATAACTCGACCAATTGTAAAATTGGTACTTTTGCCAGATTGACAAAACAAAATAATAATCGTATCTCTCTTTACAGAACTCAATAACGCAAAATGGTACGTGCAACCAAGAGCAACACCCAAGCTAACAAGGGCCAATACCGCTGCCCAGTGTGCCGCAGCAACCACCGCCTGGCTTTTTGTCGCGAGATGCGCAGGATGGAACCGGCCGAGAGACTGCGTGCTGTCCTCGTGCACCGCCACTGCGCCAACTGCCTGTCGCCGCATCACACGGCGAAGAATTGCGCATCGCCCCGAAAATGTGAGCATTGCCGAGACCGGCACCATAGCCTTCTCCACCTGGGCGAGGCGCCCCGAGATGAGGAAGACGTGCTACTGGGATTGGTCGAGCCAGAGATCCGTCAGCGACGACCGTTCCGCCCGTACACCATCCGGCCATTAGCCGAAACAAGCGACGAAGGTGAGGTGCTGGAAATCGACGCCGATGAAGAAGACCTCCAACAAGCATTGGGGGATGATCCCGAGCTTAGTGCACCGCCGGCATTCAGACCTGCTCTGTCGGGTGTCCGGTCGGTAGTGCAGCGAGCCCCAGCAACGAGGTCGAAGCGCCGAGGCGCACACCGACGCCAACGGCGATCCCAGCAACAACCCCACCGCCGTGGTGTGAGAGACGCCCGAGAGCGGATTACGGGCACGGCCCGTAGCGCTCCTAGGCTATCTGTCCTCACACCCACAGTAGCGGTTAAGGTAATGACCCGAGGGAGGACGCAAGTAGTGCGCGCCATCGTCGACCCAGCACAGCCCAGGTCGACAATATCGCTTCAGCTGGCACGCCAACTTCGAGTTTTGCCACAGGGCTATGCAGATGTGTGCAGGCTCACGCTCAAAGGGTGGCATGAAAGGCTGGATATTTGCGCCGACGTGCAACCACGCCTCTCTCGGGTAACCCCCCCTCGCACGCTGGATGCCAGGATTACCAACGAGTTCGACAATTTTCGGCTGGCCGACCCGGGCTTTTACAAATCTAGCGCCGTATCACTAGTCCTAGGAGCCGAAATATACGCAATGATCCTGCGTCCGGGACTCATGCCAGCCACCCCCACTCGACCAACGGCACAGAACACAATGTTCGGGTGGATGATCTCGGGAGGCACCATCTATTAGTGGACTACCAGAAGCAATTGGCCTGAAATCCAAAAAATGAATTTTTTAATGAATTTATGAATTGTAAATAGCAAAATGAAATAGAAAAAAAAAAATGAATTGTAAATATCTAGTTAAGTTTATTGCAGCGACACTGCAAGGCGGGCGGCATGTTTACGCTAGCCCCCTTCACCTTAAGTATGTTTATGAAGTAGAGA